GAAGGCAGTGTTAGAGGCCCAGGCAGAGAGGAGATAACCACTTCACACACACGATAGTGACTAAAATAAAAAAGATGTACCATTAAGTGTTAGTGAGGGTGTGAAGAAATGTGTACCTTCATACATGACTTCAACCTGAATGTCCCACATTACTGGTGGGAATAGAAAATGATGTAGTCATTTTGGTAAACAATATGGTGGTTCCTCAAAAGCTTAAACAGTTACCCCACAATCCAGCAATTCCGCTCCTAGGTATAAACCCAAAGGAAATGAAAACATACATCCATACAAAACTTAGTACATGAATGTTCACAGCAGCATAATTTATAATAGCCAATAAGGTACAAACAACCCAAATGTCCATCAACTGACAAATGGATAAATAAAATATGTTATAGGTATATTTATAATCCCAGCACTTTTGGAGGCCAAGGCAGGTGGATCACTTGAGGTCAGGAGTTCATGACCAGTCTAGCCAACATGGTGAAACCCTGTCTCTACCAAAAATACAAAAAATTAACTGGGCATGGTGGTGTGTTCCTGTCCCAGCTACTCAGGAGGCCAAGGCAGGAGAATCACTTGAACCTGGAAAGTGGAGGCTGCTGTGAGCCAAGATCATGCCATTGCACTCCAGTCTGGGTGACAGAGTGAAACTCCATCTCAAAAAATAAAAATAAAAATAAAGTATGTTATACTCATACAATGGAATATTATTCAGCCATTTAAAGGAATGAAGTACATATGCTATAACCTGAGTGTGAACCTTGAAAACATATTAAATGGGCCAGGTAAGGTGGCTCACGTCTATAATCCCAGCACTTTGGGAGACCCAAGCAGGCAAATCACCTGAGCTTGGCGTTCGAGATCAGCCTGGCCAACATGGTGAAACTCCATCTCTACTAAAATTACAAAAATTAGCCAGGCGTGGTAGCAGGCACCTATAATCCCAACTATTCAGGAAGCTGAGGCAGGATAATTGCTTGAACCCAGGAGGCGGAGGTTGCAGTGAGCTGAGATCACGCCACTGCATACTGCCTTGGAGACAGAGTGAGACTCTATCTCAAGAAAAAAAAAAGGCAGGGGCAGGGGCAGGGGCAGGGGCAGGGGCAGGGGCAGGAGCAGGAGCAGCGAGGTACAAAGGGCTATATAGTGTATGATTCCATTTATATGAAATGTCTAGATAGGCAAATCCACAGAGACAAAATATGTTAGTGGCTGCCTAGGGCTGGGGAGCTTGGGGGAAAGATGGGGAGGGAGTGGAAAGTGTAACATGGAATGAAGAAAACAGATCTAACATGTTTGAGGCTGGGAATATCTAAGGCTCTTCCAACACTGGCCTGGCACATGGGCTCTCAGGGGAGAAAGGCTGGGACTGCACAGGTCACCCATTATTCCTTCTCCAATACAGGTTTTAGTGGCCCCTACTCCCCAGACTTTCCTTTCTCCTCCCTCCCCAAACACCCACGTGGCTGCCCAGGGGGCCTAAATCTGAATCTGCCTCACAGAAGTTACACCTTGACTTAGCAGTTTGGATTGGAAAGCTTTACTCTCTTGCCCGCTTTTCTTTCCTTTGCATTCTACGTTCTAAAATGGATTTTCAGTCCCCCAGGTATCAAATCTCATGAGTCTGTACCTGCTTAAATTACATGGTTAATGACAAGAATGACCTGCAAAATAAGTAACCCTTATGTTTTGAGACGGGGAAATGCTCCAAGAGAAGACAGAATCATGCCTTATTCAACGAGCACAGTCAAGCTTTCTCTGAGCCAAAGTTCTCCTGGGAAAGAGGAGTTTCCCTAAAGAAAAGAAGCAGGACAAAGTCTAGCCCAGCATCCCTTGCAGTCCCCTCTTACTCAGACTAAACACAGGCCACATTCTGAAACCAAGGCAAAAACTGGAGTAGCTGACAAGGGAGCTGGCCCTGCACTCTTAACCCACATACCAAAGGCCCACACGACTCTGGCAGAACGCTGGGTGGGAGGCACTTACACACTCCCCATCCGGGCCATTACAAGCATGCAGCTCTTTCTCCTCTTCCAGTCACAGTCTCAGGCACTTCCCCGGCCAACCAAGAGGGGGTGAGGACTCCAGCAGGAGCCCAGTGTGTCCCCCCACAAGGGGACCTTTCAACACCCACCCGCAAGCACCGCCTGAGGATGAGGTCAGACTCTCTTCTGTAGGCCACAAAACAAGTCGACTTTGTAGCCAGATGGCCATCCCCCTCTCAGGCCCTAAAGCTGGGAAAGGATTGGTTTCACCCACGGGGATCTCATTCCCTATGCAGGACACCCAGCCAAACCACTTGTAAATAGGTACATTCAGGCAACGGGCATAGAAACATTTACAAGAGCCTCTGGGAGGGGCATCAGGGTTGCCCTTCCCTCTCTTCCTCCCTCTCTCTGTTCTCTGACCGTAAGTCACCCTGTGCCCACTGCCGTCACCACCTCTGGGTTCACCTCCCAAAATATCTCCCTGTTTCCAGGATGATAGCCTCTTGCTCTAGAATCTGTAAGGGCTTCCCACTCACCACAGACCATGTTCATTCAAACACTTCACCTTGCCACTCCAGTTCCTGCAAGATGTGGTCATTCCACCTCCCCTCTCCTCTCAGTCCTTCTCCACGTGCCTCTCCTCCTCTCTAGTTACACAGCCTCATAGCTAAGAACACATTCAGACCAGGTTCAAATCCCACGTCTTGGGTGAGGTGCTTAAACCAATGTTTCAGTTTCCTCATCTGTAGGGCAGGGGTAATGACAGTACCTACTGTTCAGGTGAGTACAGGGCTGATGAAAGGAGAAAATACAGGTACAGTGCTCAGAAGAAAACCTGACACACGGTCTCACTCAATCATTAGCTATTAAAATACTTATTATTACTCATACAAGTCACTTATTTCATGAAGCCTTTCCTAGCAATACCAGTCAACATATTCTGATTCTCAAATGTTCTGTAACAGTCGGAAAGCATAAATACTGACTGGAATTGCTAGACACTGTTTCAGGGGGCAGGTTACTTCGATGGTAATCAGGTGTTAATATTACCATTATGAAATTCATGTCCTAAAACCCATACCAATGGCTCCCAAATTATCTCTCCCTCCAATGTCTCAATAAATTCACGACTTAGGGATACTATCTATTTGTATAGTAATAGGTTTTGGTTTTTTGGATGCAGGCCTTAATTCTGTTAAGAATAGAAACTTGGCCAGGCGCGGTGGCTCACGCCTATAATCCCAGCACTTTGGGAGGCCGAGGCGGGTGGGTCATGAGGTCAAGAGATCGAGACCATCTTGGTCAACAAGATGAAACCCCGTCTCTACTAAAAATACAAAAATTAGCCAGGCGTGGTGGTGCACGCCTGTAGTCCCAGCTACTTGGGAGGCTGAGGCAGGAGAATTGCTTGAACCCAGGAGGCGGAGGTTGCGGTGAGCCGAGATCGTGCCATTGCACTCCAGCCTGGGTAACAACAGCAAAACTCTGTCTCAAAAAAAAAAAAAAAGAATAGAAACTTATGAAGAGCAGGGATCACACTACATCCCGTGCACACTAGAGTTCCCACCATGGACCACAGTGGATCATCAAGCCACCTCAATCAATTGAGAAACTTAAGCTTGTTGAATTTACAAAGAGAATACTGTATTACTTTAAAAAAACAAAAGTAGTACATGAGAAATTAAGTGGACCTTCAGAGTAAGAGTTGAAACCTACTCTTTCTGATAGAAAAATCAGCCAGCATGGTGGCTCACGCCTGCAGTCCCAACTGCTCAGAACGCTGAGGCAGGAGGATCGATTGATCCTGCTCAGGTACTGCCCTGGGCAATGTCATCCCCACTGTGGGTAGCTCCATCAGAGCCCGCTCCAGGTTTCCCTCCACCTCCTCACTTGTTTGGCTGGGAAGATGCAGCCAGGAGTGGTCGTCTGTAAGGGGAAATGGCATGTGGATAGCAAAGCTGACCTCTCCCTCTGTCTCTAGGATAAGAGCTGCCCCCAGGGAACACGCCTGCTGCTCTCTCTTTCTGGCAAACTCTGCCCGAGCAAAGAAGCCTGCCCTTCCCAGGCACTGATGGGGTCCTGCTAAGTAAGTCTGAGTCATGTGGGGGTTCAGTAAAAAACAGAAATGTAAAAGAAAAGAAAGATGGTATATTTCACCAGGAACAGCTATAAACAAGGCTAAGATAAAATACACAATCATCTGACATAAACAGACAACTGTGATGGACAATGATGTATCCAATGATGGACAATGGAGACTCAGGGGCCATGGGGCTGGGAAGGAGGTGGATGATGAGAGGCTGTTTGGTGGGTACAACATGTGTTGCTCCAGGGATGGAAGCACTGAAGGCCCTGACTTCACCACAGGCAATGTATCAATGTAGCAAAACTGCACTTGTACCCCATGAATCTACACAAATGTTTTAAAATTTAAAAAAAAAAAAAAAAAAAAAAAATTCTCACCAGGTGTGGTGGCTCACACCTGTAATCCCAGCACTTTGGGAGGCCGAGGCAGACAGATCACGAGATCAGGAATTTGAGACCAGCCTGACCAACAACATGGTGAAACCCTGTCTCTACTAAAAAGACAAAAAAATTAGTTAGGCATGGTGGTGTGCACCTGTAATCCCAGCTACTCGGAAGGCTAAGTCAGGAGAATCACTTGCTCCCAGGATGCGGAGGCTGCAGTGAGCCGAAATCATGCCACAGCACTCCAGCCTGGGCAATAGAGTGAAACTCTGACTCAAAAAAAAAAAAAAAAAGTTCTACACCAAAAGCATCAGATAGCATCTACATTACTACTAAGGATCAAGCTGTTGATTGGTTTGCCTGTTTAGCCAGAAGGCACCGGATCTTGGAAAGCACAGAATAGTCTTCAGGAAGGTTCCAGGAGACCAGGTATACCCCAAAACAAATGGGGGCACATGGGCCCCATCCTGTAAATCATGTGTCTCCCACACACCCTCATCGAACATCGGAAATAGGATGAGCTGACACGGACAAACTTACGTGCTCTTTCATCTTGTGAGCTACAGTTGTTGACATCATGATGCAGCAGAGGCCAACGACCAGAATGAAGTAGAGGGCGTACATGAAGCGGGTGCTCAGGGACTGCCGAATCCTGGGGCAGCAATCACAGCAGAGAGAGCAGCCTGCAGACCCACAGCAGCAGGCCAGCTAGAAAAAGAACACAAGACATCACTCAGAGCACAATACTGCCATAGATTAATATGGCAGGCACTGTGATACACACCTGGAGTCCCTGCTACTCAGGGATGGGGGAGGTGGGGCGGAGGATCACTTGAGACTAGAATCGCTTAAGACTAGAGTTCAAGTTTAGCCTGGGTAACACTGCAAGAATCTGTCTCTAAATATATATATATATATATATATATATATATATATATATATATATAATATAATATATATTTTAGATATATCTAATATATATTTTACATATATATACATACACACACACACACACACACACACACACACACACACAATTTTTTTTAAAACAAGACCCAGTGCAGTGGTTCACATCTTTAATTCCCAGATTTGGGATTAAAGCTTGGGAGATCAAGGTGAGATCGCTAGAGGCCAGGAGTTTGAGATCAGCCTGGGCAACACAGCAAGATCCCATCTCTTACGAAACATTTTTTCTTTCATTAGCCAGGCATGGTGGCACAAACCTGTAGTCCCAGCTACGTGAGAGGCTACCTCTAAGAAAAACACGACCATGAAAAAAGAAAAACATCATATTAGGTTGGTGCAAAAGTAATTGTGGTTTTTGCCATTACTTTATATATATATGAAATTTGGTCTGGTATAAGAGCTTCTAAAACTTCTGGAATTTCCTGAGCAACAGAGATTAACAGGAGAGTATTTCGTTACTAATGCTCTTTTCAATCATAGCAGAGTTTGTACTAATCAGGCAACTCTTCCTGGGCCTCTAGATGGCTTCAGGATAGGGGGCTGCCTATCAGTGGAACCAACTATGTGGTTTTGAGGGTCAGAACTTTCAGGAGCAGGGCCAGGTGCGGTGGCTCAAGCCTGTAATCCCAGCACTTTGGGAGGCCAAGGCGGGTAGATCACGAGGTCGAGAGATCGAGACCATCCTGGTCAACATGGTGAAACCCCGTCTCTACTAAAAATACAAAAAATTAGCTGGGCATGGTGGCACGTGCCTGTAATCCCAGCTACTGAGGAGGTTGAGGCAGGAGAATTGCTTGAACCCAGGAGGCAGAGGTTGCTGTGGGCCGAGATCGCGCCATTGTACTCCAGCCTGGGTAACAAGAGCGAAACTCCGTCTCAAAAAAAAAAAAAAAAAAAAAGAACTTTCAGGAGCACACACCTGGGCGGAGACTGGAGACTGAGCTAATGATCAGTGGTCCATGATTTAATCAGCCCATGTACCTAATAGTGTCTCCATAAAAGCCATAATCAATGGCATTCAGAGCTTCCAGTCTGGTGAACACATCTGTGTGCCAGGAGGGTGGTACACTCCAAATCCATGGGAACGATGCTCTTGCATTAGGGACAGCACCCTGTGTGCCTCTTCATCTGGCTGTTCCATTTGCATCCTTTATAATAACTGGTAATCGCCAGTAAAGAGTTTTCCTGAGTTCCGTGAGCCATTCTAGTCAATTTGTGAACCTAAAGAGGGGGTTCTGGGAACCCCTGATTTATAGCTGGTCAGTCAGAAGAATGGAAGGCCTACATTTGCAACTGGCATCTGAAATGGGAAAAGTCTTGTGGAACCGAGCCCTTACCCTGGGCGGTCTGTGCTAACTCTAGTTAGACAGGGTCAGAATTGAATTAAATTGTGGGATGCCCAATTGGTATCCTGTACCGAGCCACATTCACCCAAGCCTTCTGCTGGTCGACCTTCCAAGCTACAAGATGACTATTCTTCCCAGGCATCTTGACCACAGGACATTCAGGAACAGTTCCGTGTGTGAACAAAGCTTTCATCAGAATCATTCTGGTGCTATTTTTAATGACAGTCATCAATGGCTTGGGAGATGCCCAATTACTACACAGAAAAGCCACAGTTCATCTGAAGTATTATAATCATGACTCTCTAGACAAAAAGATTTCTGCAATCAGCTAAGAGCAAGAGAAGAAGTCAAGAACTAGTAAGTGAAGTGGGAAGAACATGAAAAACAGAATATGAGCCCAAAAATATGAGGGAGAAGAAAAGGAAAAATCAGTTAGGCAGACAGCTAAGGCTAGTCCTCGAGGAAAGCCTGAAAAATCACAGCTACAGGTACAAATAGAGCTGCCTGGGGAAAAACCAAACTGTACCTTCACTGATAAGAAAGGACCCAACAGAGAAGCCTTTTGTTCTTTCAGTGATGAGCAGGCTCCCAGGGAAAAGGGTCCTCCCCTTCTCAGGCATGCATGCAGTGGGCTCCGTGGGAACTTGCACAGTGAGCAGAGGGGAGGCTTACCTAAAACAAACCTCGTTTGTAAACAGTTATACAAATGAGAAGCTGTACTTTGTGTTTACCCAAGACATGCCCAAGGCTGCACAGATAAGTAGAGTTACACAGACAGCTTCACAGATAAGGGAAGTTACAGAAACAACTACAGAGATGAGGGGAGTTTCTCATACAGCAACCCACGCAGGTCCTCCTTTCCGCTGCAGAGAGCTTTCTTCATTAACTCCAATTTCACCCCTCTGTTCACATTAATCTTTTTTTTTTTTTTTTCTGAAACAGAGTGTCACTCTTGTTGCCCAAGCTAGAGTGCAATGGCATGATCTTGTCTCACTGCAACCTCTGCCTCCCAGGTTCAAGCGATTCTCCTGCCTCAACCTCCCAAGTAGCTTGGATTACAAGTGCATGCTACCATGCCTGGCTAATTTTTGTATCTGTAGTAGAAACAGGGTTTCACCATGTTAGCCAGGCTGGTCTCAAACTCCTGACCTCAGATGATCCGCCCACCTTGACCTCCCAAAGTGCTGGGATTGCAGGTGTAAGCCACCATGCCCGGCCTCCCATTAATCCTTAATTTTCTTGGTCCTGAGACAATCGGCTTGGATAACACCTCAGACAACATGATCATCAACGCTAAACCATTTCAAAAGGGACTTGTCAAAATCCATGACCCTAGGGATGAACGTACAAGCACCTAGGGTGCTGGGATGGGAAAGGCTATGCCTGCAAGCCATTCACCCTTGTAGGAAATAATGAGAGTATGTAACTTGAAGCTCAAAAGAAATGAGCTTTTTACACGGCATTTCCACCAGAGCTTCACGCCCCAAATGGTAAGCTTTTTAGGTTAATGTATAGCATGTGGGCCCAGAGGAGCACGGAGCGCTCTTGCTATACCTCTAACAGCATACACATCTTTTCTCTGGAGAAAGTGGATTCACCACAGGGCAATGGAGGATAGTGATTAAAAGCTCAGGCTCACAGTCAGCTTGGCTGGGTTTGTGGCCTGGTTTTGCCACCTACTAGCTGTGGACCACAAGCAAGTTATTCATCCTTTAAAAACGCAAGACTCCCCGTTTATAAAGTGGGGTTGGTAGAAGTACTTACACTATGTTCTCTTGGATAACCTAATCAGACACACCTGGTGCCAGAAAGCAGTCCCTGTTAAGCAAGCAGGGAATGCTATGAGAGATGACCATAAACTCAAACTTACAATAAAATCTGTATGTATTAACACTGTATTTTATATAAAACCTAAAACCTAACAATTAAATCTCTTGATAATGATTTGGAAGGAAGTTTGAGACTTTGCAAGGCTTCAAGACAAGCATCAATTAGAATGCTACACCATAAACATCACTTACAATGAGCTAAGGTCACAGGCATCTGGGTAAGACAACATACCGTAATGATGGTATGACAGATCTTGGAATCACAGTCATTTCCCTAGTTATCTCATCTACTTCATGAGACTGTCCCTGTTTGAGCCCTTTGTCGTTCTGTACTGTTTCATCACTTCAAATTTTTCCTAATCAGCTCTCTCCATTTTATGTCCAGTTTTCCAAGCCAGCTTCCTCCAGAGTCTTCTTGACTCACAAAATTAAGCCACTGCTTTGTGAAAGAAAGCATTCTACTTGGGCTGAGATAAGAGAATACACAAGTGATATCCTAACATTACGGCATGTGTGGGTGTTTTATGGGCCACTCCGCTTTACAAATCCTTCATTGATGTTCTCAATCTCTGCTTTTACTGACCTCTTTCCATTCACATGCGCAATGACTTTTCTCTGCCTCCTGAACCCTTTCCCAACTGCCTCCTTCACTGATTTTTGTTGTTGTTGTTGTTGTTGTTGTCGTCGTCGTCAAAGAGAAAGAGTTTCATTGTGTTACGATGGGCTCAAGTGTAACACAGTGAATCTCTGTCTCTTTAAACTCTATCTCAAACTCCTGGGCTCAAGTGATGCTCCTGCCTCAGCCTTAGCTGGGACTACAAGCACAGGACAGCACGATACCATGCCTGGCTGGCTGCTAACTCTCTAAGTTACCATGTGGTCTTAGATAACCTCTCACTGTATTTCAAGTTCAAATGTGATCAACAAAATACTTACTCTATTGGGGAAAATAAGTATTTTGGAAATAGTTAATGCCTCCCACAATAAAACACTCCCACAGCTGAATCAACATTTAAACTTACTATTATCTCCACAGAGGGAAAAATGAACAGATACATACACACTGTGAGCCTAATTGAATTTAATCATTTAAAGACAGACAAATAGCAACAGCAGGGATGTGACTGTGGAAAACATAAAAAGAAGGCCCTATTGGTTTAACCCTATCCCATCATTAAAGTCATATATCATTGTATGGATCTAATTTTCCAAATTTAATTTTTATTCTTACCCTATACAATGCTATAGTATTAAAAATATACATATGTATATATATTTGTACGTGCCTATATGTATGTGTACCTATATACACACATTCCAAATATCAGAATGCACTAGCTTTTCTCTACTAGCCCAAAAATGATTCTTCAAAGTAAACTAAGGCAATAATCAAGGGTACATCCATATTATCTTAAGCTACACATTGATATAGACGCCAGGTGGAAATTAAAAACAGCATCCATAAAAGAAACATTTATGTTAGCATCTAGAGAATCTCACAACCCTGCTGTCTGACCACTTGTTTCTGGAGAAGCGTAACTCTGAATAAAATGGCTTCACATCCAGC